AAAAAGGTTTAGTACGACGAAACAAAGGAGAAAAAGAAGTGGAGTAATACAGATATTTAGAATATTTTTATGATTTTAAACTCAAATTGGCTACTGAGGATCATATTTAGTAATAATTAATAAAATTATATTGAACGATGAAAGTGAGATGTGGAGGATCTAAGGATCAGAAGGAATCCTGCCAAAGAAGGCACCATCATAGAAAGAATCAAAGATGAGAATTTTCAGGAAGCCATACCAACTGTAGCTCATCAAAGGACAGCAAAATAAAAATAATAATAATAATAATAACATCAAATTTTGCATGGTTTGGTCTGTGTACACATGATGTAGTTTCTACTCTCTACATTCTTTAGAGAAAATACAAATATGTAAAATTCTGAAAAGAAAAAATGGCAAGTTTTAAGCTGATAGGTTATGAGCAATTAAACCATCTCATATATCCTAACAGAAGTAACATTTCTTTACACAGTATACTAGAGCAACCAAATACTCACCCACAAGTTGTGAGATGAAGAGTAGGGAAGACATGCAACTATGACAAATCAAATCTTTTCCAAAGTGACCTGGATCAAGACATCAATCCATCAGAGTAGAGAAGACAGCACAGAATACTGAAATAGTAGAAGCTTAGAACACAGTTTGCAGGACATTCAAGCATTTGGAATAATGCAGAAGCATTTAGATGAGTGATTCAAGTGTAGAGTAGCTAATACATAGTTGCTTGAAGACTATAACATAGACAAACTCATTCCTACAAAGTCACCCAATCCTAGTAGTTTTTTAAGTAGGAAAACCCATTGCAGGCCCTTCAATTCCCTCTGCCCTAATACTCATTTGTATATTTGGAATAACACAGAAGAATTTAGATGAGTGATTCATGTGTAGAGTAGCTAATACATGGTTGCTTGAAGACTATAACAGAGACAAACTCAATCCTACAAAGTCACCCAATCCTAGTAGGTTTTTTTAAGTAGGAAAACCCATTGCAGGCCCTTCAATTCCCTCTGCCCTAATACTCATTTTGTATTTTTGGTGGATGTGGAATGTTAGCTGTCATGAGAGTTGCATAACAGAGTCCTTGTTCCCCCAGTATCTGCACATTAAACAATACATGCATTTACTTTGTTGTCACTTTTTCATGCTAAAGATTCATTATTGTATCACTTTCTGCATAACAAATTAGCAATGCAGAGCCGAAGGTCAAAATTTTTACGATCTTCTGATCCTATCTATAAGCAAATTATTGAAAGGATAGATTTGAAGGCTAGCTTATTCAAGATGACATGTAACGCATGTCCTCAAAATATGAGGTTAATTAGTGGTAAAGTTGAGGTTTATGTCGATTAGACAGATTATTACTGAAGTCTTAAACTAAAGCTATTACAGAAGTTGCTACCTTAATCTTCAGGGACTGGACCTGTTGAAACATGATTTGCATTTTTTTCAATGAAGACAAATTCAATTTTATGCTTGGTAAGTATGATTAAAATTTTACTAAGAAATAGGTGATTCTTCTAACCTTTGCATCATGGATATGACACATTCATGTTGAGATGCCTTTCCAAGATATATGCATTTCATCCGGTTTCATACATTCAGCAGTTCCCCTCCAATGTATCTGTCATAAAACATATCCTTCAATTATAGATGCAAAATGTCATGGCGACTGTGTACATATTTTTAGATTAATTGATGTGCTTACAGATAGCTTTTTTGAGAGGCAAAAAAAAAAAATCAGAAATATGTATTGGAAGCATGCATAAAGAAGAAAAGAAATACAACATTCAGATGAAGATAATAATTCTGTAGGGACTCATCATCAAACACTACAAGTATAGGGAGACCAAACTCTGTTTCATTAAATGGAAATCTAGCTGTCACTCTTCTGTTAACCATGAACTGCATTATATGTGCCTGTATGAATAATACATTGATTGTCCTTGAGCAAAAAAAGAAATAATCCTTTTTATAAGAAACAAGAACTTGGCTGACAAGCTGCACAACTCAAAGTACTTGTAAAAGAGAATATTAATAATGCAGTTCTTATTTTGACACACATACGAAATAAATATTGTTCTATTCAATTGCGCAAAATGAACCTTGATGATTTCTGTATGACAGTTCAAAGGGAAAAGAAAAGAAAAACTCAAGCTAATGCATGGTGAACTTATCAAACTAATTGAATACTCTCAATGCAGAAACTGAATTTGTGGGTAATGATAATTACCTGGACTGTCAGTATAATAAATTAGATAGGAACACAGTTCTGAAAAAAGAAAGAAAATGTAGTTAATGATTCCAAGACATTAATTTGTATATCCTTTCTTTTAGAGAATAGTAAAAAAGAATTATTTGCAAATGATCACAGCCTTTTCGGATGTGTTCTAGATTTGTATAGCAATACAAGTATATTTATAAATAACAACATAGAAATGTACCTGTATATGATGTGTACCGATGCATCTGACTTTGTAATTATCTTGTAACTCTTGTGCAGAAAAAGAATCTCATGCTTCAACTTGAATATCTCTTGTAATTGAGGTTCCTGGTGAAATGAAGACAAAGTCAAACCATTAGAACTGAAGCCATAACCTCAAAGCAGTTCTATGGTTCTCTCTTTGTGATGACAGACAGTCATAAGAAGCAAAAGATATCTGCTATCTATGTTGCTAATGGATGAAGATGGAACATATAGCTTATGCATTTCAAAGAGCCTTGCTGTTTATGACACAATTGAATCATTGTCTATAAATCATATTTAACATGCTATCAATTACCCAAAGAGTCAGTTTGTCTCACCACCTGCAGTTGGATGAACTTCTCAAGTACACCACCTTGTACCTCCCAATCAAACCTTCCATTGTCCTTGAATGATTGTGAAACATGTCATCAATGTTCTGAATAGATTAAGTGCCCGGATGTGGCTAGTTCATAGATTTGACCCTGCATTGAGAAGATGACGACGCCGATATCAGCATCACACAACACTAACGATTCCTTGGTTTTCTTGAGCAGGTTCGTCAGTTGGACTGGGTACCCTATCCTCTTCAGCTGCACCTTGTTGCAAGCCGTGGTTTTGGCTAGCTCCGAGGTTGGTGCTGTTCCTCTCTTTGAGCTATGTGGGGCAATATATCAAGCGCTTTGAATGCATAAGTCAAGGGCCTTTGGGCTCATCAGCACAAGGTGTTTCTCTCCTTCTGATGCATCATGTGGATCCTAGTGTTTGCTTTGTGACCGTCTTCTTCCGATGAGAAGGCCAGAAAGCTTTGATATCGTTGTCGTCGCATCTCATCCTTACTCCCTCTCTCGTGCTTGCAGGTGTGGAATCTGCTCGACAATTGGGGATTCTGCATCCTCCATCTTCATATACTAAAAATTCACACTCGATCACACGAATCTTCCACCTTTACAAAGCATCTAAAATTCCTCGCGATGTGCGCAGAATGAGATGATGTGTGAAGGTGAATGATTGGAGTTGATCAGTTCGATTTCCTTTTACGAAACTGTTCCTCCGATATTAATGGCTGAGCCATTTTACCAAAAAAATATTATCTTTAATTACGATTAATGGCCAATAATAAATTGGGCACATCATTACCATTTTGGAAGCAAATAAATTGTTGACCTCCGAAATATCCAGTCAACGGCTCACCATCATGAGAGAAGCCTCAGATGGACGGCTGTGATGCAGAGGAGAACCCTCGTGTGGTTCCACGCACAGCCAGCACAGCAGCTGAGAGAGCTGCGAACGCCGACAGCGTATCTGACACAGAGATCTGTAAAAAAGGGGGTGCAGGAAGCCTCTCAATCATTCCAAGTGGTATATATACTGCAAGACAAGGAATCCGAGGCCCTCTTTTGGGCCTCTCTCTCTCTCTCTCTCTCTCTCTCTCTCTCTCTCTCATCATCTGCCCTCTGTCTCTCGCTGTAAGCCCGGGGAGGGAGAGAAGAGCAGCAGCCTACCGTCTGCCAACCCCGCCCAGCCTGTCGTTCTTCTCCTGATTGCCACCCCCCTCGATCTTGGTTGTGCGGGTGGAAGCTCGGGGAGTCGACTATGGATGAGAGAATACCATCTCCTGCTTACTTCCAGTACTCTCCTTCCGGTGTGCACTCATCGCCTTCCCCCCACCACTCCATCAGGTCTCCTGCGTCTTCCGATAGAGAGAGGTCAGCAACTCCTCCTCCCTGCTGCGTTCCGTTTGACTAGTGTCATGTGGGGGGTGGTCCTGTGGTTCTTGATTCAGCTGGGGATCTGTGGAGTGCTGTTCATGAGTTGACTCTTGGTTGGTTGACCTGGATCTTGCTATGGAATTGGGTGTTGCTAACTTCGGCACATAATCTTCCTTCTTTTAACTGGACTTAGATGTAATTGATGGATCTTTTTTTTCTTTACCTTTAATTTTCTTTCTGAGTTGGGGCTTTTGGCGATCTCGTTTGCTCGAGTGCTCAACCGAGAACTCGCTGCAGAATAGATCTTCTTTCCTTGAACTTGTATGGCCTTTACATGTATGTGACGAATCATCTACTCGAGGCGGAAAACAGGTTTGCTTCAGGATTTGCAGTGTCTTGCAATTCCATGTTTGCGCACTGTATGATTGTCAAACATAATTCTTTTGTCCTGCATGATATTGAGTGAATTCAAGACCCAATCTTGGCCATCCTTCAATGGTAGTTCTCGTTGAATACTAATCGTTGTCTACTTTACTTGCGGCCGTGTGTACAACTATCAAATCGTATCGTTAGTACTGATGGCAAGTTGGCAACTACTAGAACACAAGTTCTCTTGATCGTGATTCAATTGAAAGAAAATGCTTAGTAGATGAACCAAGTAGTTAAACATGGTTCTTGTGGTTCCATGTTTCACAAACTAAGCTTTTACTCTGCATATATCCTAAACCAATGTGTCAACTTCAAATTTGTAACATCCTCTACTGGTTCAGATGTGATTTGCTATTTGACCTTTCCAATGCTTACTATAATAAGAGAATAATTGTTGTTTCTGCAGATATTTGGCTGAATTATTGGCTGAGAGGCAGAAATTGGGGCCATTCATGCAAGTACTTCCATTTTGCAACAGGCTTTTAAGCCAAGGTATGTTATCACATGACTCTGCTGTTTATTATATCCATTAATCGGGTTGACATATTGTGGTTTGGTAAGTGTTTCCTCTGATTTTTCTTAATAAGCTGATCATATAATTTATGAAATTATTTGATGTTGCAACTGTAAGTGACTATGACATTTTTGCATAATTTGCTTTGGGCATTTAAGTAACATGCAGCCTTTTTATTTAATAATTTGGCTTCATAACTGCACTGTCTTTACCAATGTTCAATGTATCTTGTTTTTGGAATGATTGGTTATACTGATTTGCATCAGCTCTTGAATCTTGTTGAGACCTTAATTTAGACAAAATAGAGTATTCAAGTTTTAATAGTGGACAATGATTTGGTACTTGATGCTTCTAATGATGATCGGATGTGGTCTTGTTCTCTGATTACTGAAATTGGGGGACTTGCTGTGTTGAACTTGTGCATAAACCCCTAACCCTTATTTTCTGGTTTCCTCATTTGATCTTAGATGAACTTGTGCTGGTAAATAAGTTTCAATATAGTTCAAGCTATCTTCTTCATGTGCTACATGATTAAGAGTGTTACTTCCAGAATGTCTTTGACCTTGATGCATGAGTTACTATTGATGTTGCAGAAATTATGAGGGCTTCTGGTTTAGCACCTAACCAAGCATTTGTCGATCCTGAGAGAATTGAGCATAGCTCTCCATTAAGATTAGCTGGACACCCATCAAATGGTGGACCAATGGATCTGGAGGGTTGGTCGGGCATGCAGGCTGAGGTGACACCACTTTACCTTTCTATAAAGCATTGTTTTGATTTAGCATTTAAGTCTCAAATTCCATAATGCAACCCTCATTATTAGTTTATCTAGCATGACATGGAGCCTTTACGCTTTTTGTTTTCTTCCTTTGTTCTTAAATTCATCATTTTGTGAGTTCTGATTTAGGAACTATATTTAAGGTCATTACTTCTACTTGTTTGTTGGGTTCCTGGGATGAGGGGCAGTATTGTTGGGGAAATTTTATGTAAATATATATTTAAGCATCTAGCCTTCATAGAAGATGATTTTGTGTAATACCTGATACTTAAAGTTGGATTTGTTTGTGTTTATGTGGTTATTTAAGCATCTAAACTCTATGTAGGATGGTTTTATCGATTACCAGAACCTGATGTTTAGTCTGTCTTTTCTTTATGTGGTTTTTCTATACTATGCAAATTAGGTAAATAAATAACTAATAGTTTAAAACTAACATTAGTTTTATGGTCATCTAAAATATTATTAAATACTTTACATGACCTGGTAAATATTATTAATAGTCTTTTTAAATATTTAAAAGTAAGGCTACGTACATTGATCCTCCTTGCATTAGCTGGAGCCTCGTGCACTGGGTTACATGACCTGGTGTGGGGAGCATTAGAAAGTCAACTAGAAAGTCTTAGATGATTCAGGAGCTGATTTAAGTAGCAACCAATAGACAAGATTTTGGCTACATAAATTCTTACATGAAAGCAGCCTGTAAGAGATTTAGAGATCTGAGGAATGCTGAAACCTTTGGGATCAGTGGCAAGATTGTATCCATATCTTCATCAGTCAGATAATCATCATAATTTTTTGAGTTATTTTTGTATTTTCTAATAATATTCTCTAGATAATTAAACTCGGGTAGGAATATGTGTTAAGATTTCAGAATGATTGTTGAGCTTTCTATCCTAAAGAGTAGTGGTAGATTTTGTGACTATGATAAGGTAGTGTTTTGTGATGCCAGATTTAAATCAATATACCTGTTTAGTTCAGAGTGAAAGTTTGTTATAAGTGCAATAAATAATATTATGATTACTAGGAAACAGAATTGTTAGAGTTTCTAACCTATTATAACTAATTTCTTCTCTTTCTTATGATAGATTTTAGCAAATATTTTTTGTTTAATGCTTGAATTGTGTATATGGATTTTATCATTCCATGAAGTTGGATCCAGTAGTTCTTGGAATTCAGAAAAAGAATCTCAAATTAAGGAGTGAAAGAAGAAAAGGATTATTCCCCGTAGTAATACTGCAGAACGATTAGTGTGACTTAGTAGCAAGTTAGAAGGAGAAATGAATAAAGTAGATTCAGCTTAACATTTGTGAGGTCCTTTTATCTGTCTATGAACCCATTAATTGTCACACAAAAGCTGGATCTCGTACTCATCAATCCTTGCTTCTACCGTTGTCATAGTAGTTAGACATATTTTTGAATCCAACTCGCGCACAGAGTGTGATGCATGTCCATTTCATGGCGTGTATCTGACTCATGAAATGTATCTAATATAATTTTGTCATTCTAATAGAATTCCAAGTAGCACTGCTAATGGTGTATCTTGGCAGTGTTTTTGTATCTCGTTTATTGATTATGATAATTTCAGGTAAATTCCAGCTTTTTAAGCTTCATTACATTTAGTGGATATCCACCCTTGGGTCCACCCAAGATTGATACTTTTCTACTCTTTGAATCTTGAGACATTATTCTCTCCCTCCTCAAGATCTTGGTTGGACACATCAGCAGGAGTAACAACTCTTTGGCTCACAATTTAGCCAATTTTGGTAGACAGATTAGTTCTTTTTTTTGGAGAGGTGACCCGCCTCTAATATTTTGTATGGTAACATTTTGAATTAATGCATCTCTTTACTTCAAAAAAAAAAAAATCTTGGTCAGATCAATTTTGATCTAATCCTCCGAACCAACTGAGTTAGTTATAAAGAATAATTTCCACAAGTTTTAACCCTTGCCTCCTGTAAGCTAAAAACTTCCTTTACTAACATATCACCAGCCCAAAATAGGCTGATTAGAAGAGGAAAGGCAAGTGGTTGGTTTAGAAGTGATCACAGATATCCTCATTTGGACATTCGTTAGAATATGACACCTCATGTGTTAAGTTGTTCAACGATCACATTTTCAAGGGTTTTTGTCAACCTGATGGGATTATATATTTATACATATATACATTGTATTTTTTATCCTTCTTATTATTAAGATGAGCTGTTGAGACGCATACTTCCCCAAAAATCTGATTCCATGATTTTTGCTTAGTCAAAATGTATCCATCAATAACAGCATTTATGATGCACTATGAATCAGTAAGTGAGGAAATAAATTTGACTTTCTGTCACTGTTGGAATACATCAACCTATTTTTACCAATTAATTCTGAGGAAAGCTAAGTAGAATGTTTCTGTTACTAGAATGTAATTTTATAAGATTGTTTTATTATTATCTGGGGTTGTTATTTAAATGATATTTAAATATTTACTAATAGATTATGTTAATGCAACTTTTGTATGCAGGAAAATGGATACTTCCACAGAATGGGGGCCATTCAAACGTCAACTGCAGGTTGGAATGGAATTCCTGGAGTCAGTACCAGCCCCA